ATTCCCATTTCCCCCCAAATTCCCATTTCTCCCCAAATTCCCATTTTTCCCAAATTCCCATTTCCCCCCAAATTCCCATTTCCCCCAAATTCCCATTTTTCCCCAACCCCCCCATTTCCCCAAATTCCCATTTTCCCCAAATTCCCATTTTCCCCAAATTCCCATTTTTCCCACATTCCCATTTCCCCCAAACTCCCATTTCCCCCCAAAATTCCCATTTTTCCCCAATTCCCATTTTCCCACTCCTGCAGACGCCGCCCTCCCCGCGGAGCCGGAGCCGCTGGATCCCCTTCCCCAACTCTTCGCACCCTTCGGGCCCTGCGCCGCCCGGGCGGAATTCCCCAAATTCCCGGAATTCCCGGAGTTCCCGGAGTTCCCCAAATTCCCGGAGTTCCCGAAATTCCCGGAATTCCCGGAATTCCCGCTGGGCCCGGGCCCGGAGCTGCTCCTGGCCGAGCCGCCCCCGGCCGGGGACCCCCCCCCCATTTCCAGCCTGCTGGGGTCCCACCTGTTCCCGGGGGGGGAGGGCTGAGCCTTCCCAAAATCCCCCAAAATTCCCAAAAAATCCCCACAAAATCCTCCCGAAATCCTCCTCGAAATCCTTCTCGGAATTCCCAAAAATCCTCCCAAAAATCCCCCCAAAAATCCCCTCGAAATGCTCCCAAAATCCTCCTCCAAATCCTCCTCGGAATTCCCAAAAATCCTCCCAAAAATCCCCCAAAAATTCCCCAAAAATCCCCTTGAAATGCTCCCGAAATCCACCTCCAAATCCTCCTCAGAATTCCCAAAAATCCTCCCAAAAATCCCCCCAAAAATCCCCCCAAAAATCCCAAAAATCCCCTCAAAATGCTCCCGAAATCCTCCTCCAAATCCTCCTCGGAATTCCCAAAAAATCCTCCCAAAAATCCCCCCAAAAATTCCCCAAAAATCCCCTCAAAATGCTCCCGACATTCTCCTCGAAATCCTCCTCGGAATTCCCAAAAAATCCTCCCAAAAATCCACACAAAAATCCCAAAAATCCACACAGAATCCTTCCAAAATCCTCCTCGGAATCCTCCCAAAATCCTCCTTGGGATCCCCAAAAATCCTCCCAAAAATCCCCCCAAAACTCCCAAAAATCCACACAAAATCCTCCCGAAATCATCCTCGAAATCATCCCAAAATCCTCCTTGGAATTCCCAAAAATCCCCCCAAAATTCCCAAAAATCCACACAGAATCCTTCCAAAATCTTCCTCGAAATCCTCCCAAAATCCTCCTCGGAATTCCCAAAAATCTGCACCAGATCCTTCCAAAATTCCCAAAAATCCGCACGAAATCCTTCCAAAATTCCCCTCGAAATTCCCAAAAATCCCCCTCAAAATCCTCCTCGGAATTCCCCCCAAAATTCCCAAAAATCCGCACGAGATCCTTCCAAAATCCCCCCGGATTCCCGAAATTATTGGGATTTTGGGGGGAAATCCGGGACTTTGGGTGGAATAAAGGCACAGACGGACACCCGGGAGGTGTGCTTGTACTGGGAGGGACTGGGACAAACTGGGAGGGACTGGGAGGGACTGGGACAAACTGGGAGGGACTGGGAGGGACTGGGACAAACTGGGAGGGAACTGGGAGGGACTGGGACAAACTGGGAGGGACTGGGAGGGACTGGGAGGGACTGGGAGGGAACTGGGACCAGTTTGGGACTGGAACTGGGACCAGTCTGGGGCCGGAACTGGGACCAGTATGGAACAGGAACTGGGACCAGTTTGGAGTTGGAACTGGGACCAGTCTGGGGCTGGAACTGGGACCAGTTTGAGGCTGGAACTGGGACCAGTTTGGCCCAGTATGGAACTGGGACCAGTATGGAGCTGGAACTGGGACCAGTATGGAACAGGAACTGGGACCAGTTTGGGGCTGGAACTGGGACCAGTCTGGGACTGCAACTGGGACCAGTCTGGAACAGGAACTGGGACCCGTTTGGGACTGGAACTGGGACCAGTCTGGGGCCGGAACTGGGACCAGTATGGAACAGGAACTGGGACCAGTTTGGGGCTGGAACTGGGACCAGTATGGAACAGGAACTGGGACCCGTTTGGGGCTGGAACTGGGACCAGTATGGAACAGGAACTGGGACCCGTTTGGGACTGGAACTGGGACCAGTCTGGGGCTGGAACTGGGACCAGTTTGGCCCAGTATCAAACTGGAACCGGGACCAGTATGGAACAGGAACTGGGACCAGTCTGGAACTGGAACTGGGACCAGTTTGGCCCAGTATGGAACAGGAACTGGGACCAGTCTGGGGCCGGAACTGGGACCAGTAGGAACAGGAACTGGGAACAGTTTGGAGTTGGAACTGGGACCAGTCTGGGGCTGGAACTGGGACCAGTTTGGCCCAGTATGGAACAGGAACTGGGACCAGTCTGGAACTGGAACTGGGACCAGTCTGGAACTGGAACTGGGACCAGTCTGGAACTGGAACTGGGACCAGTATGGAACAGGAACTGGGACCAGTCTGGGGCCGGAACTGGGACCAGTTTGGCCCAGTATCAAACTGGAACCGGGACCAGTATGGAACAGGAACTGGGACCAGTTTGGGGCTGGAACTGGGAACAGTCTGGGGCTGGAACTGGGACCAGTTTGTCCCAGTATCAAACTGGAACCGGGACCAGTATGGAACAGGAACTGGGACCAGTTTGGGGCTGGAACTGGGACCAGTCTGGGGCTGGAACTGGGACCAGTTTGGCCCAGTATCAAACTGGAACTGGGACCAGTTTGGCCCAGTATGGAACTGGGACCAGTATGGAACAGGAACTGGGACCAGTCTGGGACTGGAACTGGGACCAGTTTGGGGCTGGAACTGGGCCCAGTTTGGCCCAGTATGGAACTGGGACCAGTATGGAACAGGGACTGGGACCAGTTTGGGGCTGGAACTGGGCCCAGTTTGGCCCAGTATCAAACTGGAACTGGGACCAGTATGGAACTGGGACCAGTCTGGAACTGGAACTGGGACCAGTATGGAACTGGAACCGGGACCAGTATGGAACAGGAACTGGGACCAGTCTGGGGCCGGAACTGGGCCCAGTTTGTCCCAGTATCAAACTGGAAGCGGGACCAGTCTGGGGCTGGAACTGGGCCCAGTTTGTCCCAGTATCAAACTGGAAGCGGGACCAGTCCGTCCCAGTATCAGACTGGGAATAGAACCCGGAAGTGGCGCCGCTCAGGCCCCGCCCCCTCCCCAAACCACGCCCCCTCATTAGCCGCAGCCCTAAGCCCCGCCCCAGCCTCGTTCTGGCACAAAGCCACGCCCCCTTTCCCCTCATCTCCATTCAGCCCCGCCCCAGCCTCGTTCTGGCACAAAGCCACGCCCCCTTTCCCCTCANCGCCCCAGCCTCGTTCTGGCACAAAGCCACGCCCCCTTTCCCCTCATCTCCATTCATTTCCGCCCCAGCCTCGTTCTGGCACAAAGCCACGCCCCTTTCCCCTCATCCCCATTCAGCCCCGCCCCAGCCTCGTTCTGGCTCAAAGCCACGCCCCTTTCCCCTCATCCCCATTCAGCCCCGCCCCAGCCTCGTTCTGGCACAAAGCCACGCCCCCTTTCCCCTCATCCCCATTCAGCCCCGCCCCAGCCTCGTTCTGGCTCAAAGCCACGCCCTCCCCGTCCACTGCACTTCCGCATTTCCGTCACTTCCGCTTCCGGGTGCGCCGAGCGCGGTGAGCGGCGATGGCGGCGGGGCCGTTCCCCCCTAATTAATTAATTATTGCTTAATTAGCGCCCTCCTCCTTCCCCCCGGGCCTGCCCCTCATTAGCGACTCATTTAATTCCCAATTTCCCCTTTAATTCCCAATTTCCTCTTTAATTCCCAATTTCCCCCTTTAATTCCCAATTTCCTCTTTAATTCCCATTTCTCCCCCTTTAATTCCCAATTTCCCCCTTTAATTCCCATTTCTCCCCCTTTAATTCCCAATTTCCCCCTTTAATCCCCAATTTCCTCTTTAATTCCCAATTTCCCCCTTTAATTCCCAATTTCCTCTTTAATTCCCAATTTCCCTCTTTAATACCCAATTTCCTCTTTAATTCCCAATTTCCCCCTTTAATTCCCAATTTCCCCTTTAATTCCCAATTTCCTCTTTAATTCCCAATTTCCCCCTTTAATTCCCAATTTCCCCCTTTAATTCCCAATTTCCCCTTTAATTCCCATTTCTCCCCTTTTAATTCCCAATTTCCCCTTTAATTCCCAATTTTCCCTCTTTAATCCCCAATTTCCCCTTTAATTCCCAATTTCATCTTGAATTCCCAATTTCCCTCTTTAATTCCCAATTTCCCTCTTTAATTCCCATTTCTCCCTCTTTAATTCCCAATTTCCTCTTTAATTCCCAATTTCCCCTTTAATTCCCAATTTCCCCTTTAATTCCCAATTTCCCCTTTAATTCCCAACTTCTCCTCTTTAATTCCCATTTCTCCTTTAATCCCCAATTTCCTCTTTAATTCCCCATTTCCCCCTTTAATTCCCAATTTCCCCTTTAATCCCCAATTTCCTCTTTAATTCCCAATTTCCTCTTTAATTCCCCATTTCCCCCTTTAATTCCCAATTTCCCCTTTAATCCCCAATTTCCTCTTTAATTCCCAATTTCCCCCTTTAATTCCCAATTCTCCCCATTTAATCCCCAATTTCCCCTTTAATTCCCATTTCTCCCCCTTTAATTCCCAATTTCCCCTTTAATTCCCAATTTCCCCCCTTAATTCCCAATTTCCCCCTTTAATTCCCAATTTCCTCTTTAATTCCCAATTTCCCCTTTAATTCCCATTTTTAATTTTTATTCTCACTTTTCCATTTTTATTCCAAATTTTCTCCCCTTTATTCCCAATCTCCTCCTTCATTATTCCCGAATTTTCCCCGCCTTAATCCCCAATTTTTATCCCAAATTTCCCCCTTAATTAATTTCTAATTCCCCCCTAATTAACTTCCTAATTCCCCATTAATTTCCCCCTAATTCCCCTTTAACTCCTAATTACCCATTAATTAATCCCCAATTTCCCCTTTAATCAATCTCAATTTTCTCCCTTTATCCCAAATTTTTATACCAAATTTCCCCCCTTAATTACCTCAAATTCCCCCTTGATTAACCCCCAATTACCTCTTAATTATTCCCCAATCTCTTTCTTAATGAATCCCTTAATTCCCAATTTTTATCCCAAATTTTCCCCCTTAATTAACCCCCAATCCCCCTTAATTACCCCTCAATTCCCCCTTAATTCCCTCCTAATTCCACATTAATTAACCCCTAAATCCCCCTTAATTACCCCAATTTCCCCTTTAATCAATCCCAATTCCCCCCTTAATTAATCCCCATTTTCCCCCCTTAATCCCTGATTTTATCCCAAATTTACCCCCTTGTTCTCTGATTTTTATCCCAAATTTCCCCCCTTAATTAACCCCCGATCCCCCTTAATTAACCCCCTAATTACCCCCAATTCCAGCCCTTCCCCCACCCCTGGATCCTCTTTTCCCCCAAGACCCTCCTGCTCCTCCCCCTCCCCCTCCTCCGTTCCC